ACTCCCCGGGTCACACCTTCCTCCTCACACACTCCCCGGATCACACCTTCCTCCTCACACACTCCCCGGGTCACACCCCCGTCCTCACACACTCCCCGGGTCACATCCCCGTCCTCACACACTCCCCTGGTCACACCCCCATCCTCACACACTCTGCTGGTCACACTCCCGTCCTCACACACTTCCCAGGTCCTCTGTCCTCACACACTCCACAGGTCACAAGTCCGTCCTCATACACTCCCCGGGTCACACCCCCATCCTCACACACTCCCCTGGTCACACCCCCCGTCCTCACACACTCCCCGGGTTAAACCTTCCTCCTCACACACTCCCCTGGTCACACCTCCATCTTCACACACTCCCCTGGTCACATCCCCGTCCTCATACACTCCCCAGGTTAAAACTTCCTCCTCATACACTCCACGGGTCACACCTGCCTCCTCACACACTCCCCGGGTCCTCCATCCTCACACACTCCACAGGTCACAGCTCCGTCCTCACACACTCCCCAGGTCACACCCCCATCCTCACACAGTCCTCTGGTCACACCCCTGTCCTCACACACTCCCCGGGTCAAACCTTCCTCCTCACACACTCCACAGGTCACAGCTTCCTCCTCACACACTCCCCAGGTCACACTCCCTATGCACACACTTCACAGGTCACACACACCCCATCCTCACACACTCCCTGGTCACACCCTCACCCAGGATGCTGAGTGTGGCGCCATAGGCCCCGAGTAGCACTGCAAAGTGGCTGCTCTCACAGACAGAGGGGCACAACTCCACCACCGTCGACATCAGGTCCACCAGTGCTTCTGGAAGGAAACAACACTGAAACACACAGCCCTGTAGCGGTGCACACTCAGAACACACAGAGGGCCAAGCGGTTCAGGAAACATGTCAATGCTTTCCAATCTCTTTCCTTGCTCTCTCCCTGTGCCTTGTTTTGTTTTAATTACATGATCTTCACAGTCATCTCTCTTCCTGGGTCCTTGACAGGCATGCTTTTAGTCCTATTCCACTCCCCTCCCAAATTGGAAGCCACTAGGTTTTTACTAAGCATTTTTTCCTCACGATTACGTTACCAAAATCTCTTAACATCTCTACTCCTGCCTGAATAGAAGGGCAAAGTCCTTTGTACTCCTCCCATTACCCACACTTCCCATTTGGACAATGGCTCTCTTCACTGTAGCAGTGTCTTACAGACTGACTTGGTGGTAATTTATAACAGATCTGGGGTGCTAATTTTGCCTCTCTAACCACAGCATGGAGCCCTGGTGGCGCAGTGGTTAAAAGCTCCGCTAATAGACAAAAGCTTGGCAGTTCATATCCACCAGCCACTCCTTGGAAACCCTATGGGGCAGCTCTACTGTACTACAAGGTCTCTATGGGTTGGAATCGACTCGATGGCAACGGGTTTTGGAACCAGAGTGTGGCTTGTGGAGAGGGAGGAACCCTGGGAACGTCTTCTCTGGCATCTGTCAGGGCCCACGCCGCACTGGGGACTTGTGGGCAGTAAACCCTGACTGAATTAGGGGTGGAGTCTAAACCTGGACGTTGACTGAAGCTTACTCTAGCACTGAACTGTCAACAGGGACATTTCAACCCTTTTCCCTTGATGAGTTTCAATCTTCACATTAAGATTTACGCATCTAAACAATTTCCCTCAAGTCAGACACCTACACTTTTTTCTCACCCCTCCTAACTTCCGTTAACTCCTCGATTGTAATAGCTGCCCACGATAAAGCAATAAGACCTCAAACACACTTCTGCAAGCCCGAACAGGGGTCCACGTCGTGTATGTCCAAGGAAGCATTTCTCGGGGGTGGACTGACAGAAACTGAACATTCTGACTCTGTCTGAGTAACGCTTCCTTGGCTCCGTGAACACAGGGAGATAAGCGCTGGGGCACCGCTGGTCTGACAAAACCAGCAGGTGAAACCTGTATCTGAAATGGGAGGGTGAGGAAAGGGTCACCTTTTACTTGGCTGTCTGGGTTTTCCTCTCCTTCGGACTTCAGCATACTCGACAAAAACAGAGAATGCTGCATGAGCATCATGTGGACCGTGGGGAGCTGAAGCAGCTCTGTGCGCAGAGGGCTTTCCGGCACATACAAGAGCTGTATGGCAGCATGGAGTGCCCGTAAGAATGCGTGGTCCTGATATCGGAATCTAAGAGGCAAGAACCAAAGGAATAAATGAATTTCGCTAAAACAAAACAAAAAAACCAGCTGCCATCAAGTCAGCACCAACTCATGGCAACCCCGTGTCAGAGCAGAGCTGTGCTCCACAGGGTTTCCAATGGCTGACTTTTCAGAAGCCTTGCTCTGGAGGCAATTTTGGGTGGACTCAACTCTCTAGCCTTTCCATATTGGTACAATGGTTAAGCACTCAGCTGCGATCTGAACCCACCTGCTACCTCGAAGGAGAAAGATGTGGCAGTCTGCTTCCATAAAGATTACGGCCTTGGAAACCCTATGGGGCAGTTCTACTCTGTCCTACAGGGTCGCTATGAGTCAGAATCGACTCAATGACACACGACGACAAGAAGTGCATTGACTGTTTGTACCATCCAGGGACTCCTGAGCTTCACTAAAAGAGAATTTGATTTAACAAGTAAAAAAATTTTTTTAAGAAAATTTTCAAACACCCCTCACAGTTGAGAACTTAAGTGACTATCTGTAGGTTCTACCATTAACACTTTATTAAACTTGCTTTATCACCTACCCATTCCATCCAACCATTGCTGGGTGCGCTTCTGAACACGAGGGAGGGACTGGTGTGTATTTATATATTTGACGACAACAGAAAACTATCTTCCTGCTTATGTGAAAACAGCTGAGCCTGAGAACAGATTACCCTCTCTGCCTCCCAATCCACCTCACCAGGTCAGCCCGAGTTCCTGTTCATGCGCAGCTCCCTCCCTCCCTCCTTTGAGCTACTCAGAACATCCATCAAACGACTCAGAGGCTCGTCTTTTCTATGCCTTAAAACTCCTCAAAACTCACCAAGGGGATGAAAGCATCGTGCTCTAGGAAAACCAACTTTTTTTAGCCACATATGAATAATGTTAAGAATCACTTAGCAAACAGTGGGCATTCTAGAAACACAAATTAACTGAAGGCTGAGCAAAAATGTTACCTCTCCGTCACAGCATCAATAGCTGTCAATCAATACCTGACTCACCTTCACCTTTTCCTCTCCTGTGTTATAAGGTATTTTTCTCTGTTTCAAGTTCAGGAATAATCAGGGAAATGAAATTAACAGCCTCAATCAAACATCATTTCCTGACCCTCTGACTCCCAAAAATGAAAGTGTCTGACCACATCAAGTACTAGCGAGGCCGTGAGGGAAAAACAAACTCACTGAAATTCGCTCAACAACTCTGGAGAGTAATGTGAAATCGGGTAACACCAAAGCGTGTCCACACTAACAGCTACCAGGCGCCCCTCCCTGAGGAAGTCTGCCACACAAGCACCAAGAGACCTGTGATGCTGACACGGGACTATCTGTCACAGCGAAAGAAAGAAGAAGAAACAAGAAACAACTAGGTGTCCATCAGCAGGGGACTGGTTAAATAAGCTATGATGCAGTCACAAGACAGACTAAGCTAGAGCAGTAAAAATAAACGATTAAAAAATGCATGTATCCATGTGGATAAACCAAAAACATTTAAACGAAGACAAGAACATACATACACAGAATGATGCTGTTGTTGTTGTCAGCTGCCGTGGAGTTGGTCCCCAACATGTGGCGACCCCCCGCACAACAGAGAGAAGCGCTGGCTAATCCTGCATCATCCCCATGATCTCCTACAAGGACACGGCCCAGACCCCGAGCC